TGAAAGGATCTATCTCTTGCTGAAACGGATACAGTAATAGGCCGGTCCATTACGGCACACTTTATTAAAGAAATAGAAAATTAAAAGGGAGAAGTAGGGATCAATCTTGGGTCCGCTGGTCACTAACCGGGCTACGAGCCACTGAGTCACTGCCGGCTTTGTGATTTAATACTAGGGGTTGACTTATTTAAGGGTCAAAACCCTGCCTTTATCTCACTATTTATTTTATTTTGTTTCTTTTCCTTTTTTTGTTTTCACTCTTTTATTTATTTTTTACTATTTATATTCCCTATTTGTTTTCCCTCTTTTATTTAACTGTAAAAAATGCTCGGGCTTTTAATATTTGTTCAAAGTTCCAAAAAGAAAAATCTCTTTTCAAATTTGTTCAAAACATACAAATATCCACATTTTTAAAAAAAGTGCAGAATTAAACAAAAATGAGTCTTCCAAAATTGCTAAGAAAACACGAAACTTATCTAGAAAGAGCAAACAAAATTTTGAGCACGAACATCTTTATAAAAATACTATTTTTTCTGGAAATTCAGAAATATGAACAAAAATTCGTTTTTTTATTTGTCCGAACACTTTTTGTATGTGTGTAGATTTTTTTAACAGGAACTTTTTAAAATTCCAAACAAATCTTGGAAGAGCAGACATTATTTGAAACTCCCCAAACATATTTTGTATTTCTGAACAATTGTTTTCTAAAAGGAACATTTTTTGGCTTTGTGAACAAATTTTGAAAATCACGGCATTTCTTGATCGATGAACTATTTGCAAATATGCGAGTACTTGGGCCGGCCCAATGGGAGCGATGTCCACTCCTAGTTGAGCCAAGGCCTATGTTTTTCTCTTTTATCTTTCTCTTTTTTGTTTTCTCTTCTTTTTTGCTAATTTATTTTTCTTCTTTCTAACTTTATTATTCTTTTTGAAACCTGTTCAAAATTTTGAAACATTTTGTCCAATACCAAAATGACATTTTAAGTCACTGTTTAAAATTATTATTTTAGATTCTTTTTTCCTTCAAATATTTATTAGATGCTTTTTTAAAAAGCATTTAGTGTTTTCAATTTTATCCCTTTGTATTTTATTAGTTATGTTAAGGCTTAAAAAAGTACCTGTTTAAATTATGATTTAAAATACTTTTATCTTAGATCTAGCATTAATGCATACCATTTAAAAGTACCTGTTTAAATTATTAGTTATGTCACATAGTTTCAAAAAAAATCATACCATTCAAAAAAAATTCATCGTATGTTCGAGAAGTCTTTAACATGTATTAAAAAATAACAGAAAATGTATTTAAAAATTATTAATCATGTATTTAGAAAATAGCAAGTACATGCAAAAAATGTTAAGATGAATGTGAAAATTGTAGAATGCGTGGGAAAAATCAAAACAAATATTTGAAAAATGTTAATCATGTATTTGAAAAGTGTTAAGATTTATAAAAACATTGCTACTGCATACAAAAAATGTACAATGTGTATTAAAAAATAAGGCATGTGTTGAAAAATAGAAAAAAAATGAGGAAAACCAAAGAAACCCGAAGAGAAAACAAAAACAAAAACGAAGAAAGGGATAAAAAGGAAAAAGGGAAAGCGAGGAAAACCAGAGAAAACGGATGTGTGTACAGTGGAAAACACGAGAAAAAAACATACAAGGAAAAAAATACTTGCACTCCACTACCGTGTTTGGCCAGCCCAATAGCCACTGCGCTGTTGGCAATTCCTAATAGGAATCACTACGAGGAAAATATGGCTCCGGCATCATTCCCTAAAAAGGGATGGCTTTTCCAATGTTTTAATTTCCAAACAAAGTGTTTTATTCATCACCAATTACAACCCAAATAGTCTTAGTTCCAACGAGCAAGCACCATTATTTTGGTGAAGTTGCCCCATAAACAAGATTCCAGTTTTAAAAAAGGTTCATCTCAGAAAGAACTTAAGCAATATGGTAAGCAGCAACGGCCAAACAGGCTCTGGAGCCGAAATGATGGTGGAGGCGCCACACGCACAATTTCCAAGGCACCTGTTTCATCATACATATTCCATCTCACTTGTCTTCTTTTCCTCAAGCTTTTTCTGCTTGGAACAAACTACTATACTAGTGTTGTTTTTATTATCGTCTTCTCCAATTGCAAGCCATGTTGGAAAGGCCTCTTCCCTCTTCTTTTGGTCCAAGACTGAACCAAAAGCAGCTGCACACTCACGGAGAAAGCAGCTCTAATTTCATTTTCCCATTAGTTGTTTTGTGGCTTGGGATTAGTGCTAAAGCTGTCTGTGATTAGTGGGGCCTAATCACCCTCAAGTGCCATAATAAGCCTGCCTTTTGCGCTCACCCTTGTTTGACCAAATGACTAGCTTCTTGACCAGCTGAGTCCAAACATATTCTACAACTTATATTCCCTATTGTTTGATGCTAGTAGCAGCAGCAGTGCTTACAAAACACAAAGTGAGGACAAAGCAAACAAAACTAATGAAATTTGGCTTCAACTTTAAGAGACAGTCCCATCACATTCTTCATTTTTTGTGCTCCTCGTCCATTGACTAATACAAACTGTGTAAAGGGAAGAGAAGAGAACACACCAGAAGCTCTTCTGGACTTCTCTCCTCCACGCTTTGCAAAAACAGATGTTGCCCCTGCTTTGAATTACTAGTAATTGGAGTTAATTACCTGTGCACATCCAGACACTGACAAGGACAAAAACTTGAGCTAGTGCTAATTAGGGCCACCTAATCACCGGTGGCTAAGCACCCTAGGCCACCTAACCATGTGCATGTGAAGATCATCATCTTGTACCGACCCACATTAATCACGCGTTAAATCTACGG